CGTGCGTGCGTGCGTGCGTGCGTGCGCGTGTGTCGCGACTCTGACACAACATCAAAACCAGCATCATCATGGTGACAGCTTGTTGCCATTGCGCTGATCCCATCTCGAAGTTGATTGCTGTTGGCAGATCTGATGTAAAGCTGCTGCTCATCGTCACTAATGCTTTCGGCTTCGTTAGCTATCGCTGCAAATGAGCTTTGGCGTTGAGATAGCGTTGCATTACTTGCAATGAACATCGGTTGTGGTGCAGGGCATGCACGAACATTGGTTGTGCTGTAGGGCATGCAAAAGCTTCACCCTCAGAGTCCAAAGGCCTTTCGAAGATAGGCCTTTGACAAGAGGCCTCAAAAAGGTTAAAAGGCCTCATTGAGTATCATGCCGAGTATATGTGCTGAGTAATCATGCCTTTTTGAGGCCTCCCCAGGGCCCGTTTTGCTAAAAAGTCACCGTTTCGTCTAGTAACACCAGCCGAAATACGCATAAATCCTATAACTATACTTCGAACAAAATGCACCCTACCTATGCAAAACATCGTTTGGGTGTATCACGTGTCTGTTTCCCTTGCGCTATCGCTTGCATCTTCAGAGAGCGTCTAAACCAGCGCGAGATGGCAAAGAGAGCATGGATCAAGCTCCAGCAAACGTACACGCAGGCAAAAGTTCCAAGGATTTCAAACTCGGACGGGCCCCCAAACAAAACACGTCCCGGATCGTGTCATTTCAGGGGTACCCTCAAATATACCCCTGTCCACGGGCAAACCATGACTTTTCGGGGCCGTTCCAAAACTTTTCGAAACCTTTCCACAGGTAATCCACGGGTTGTCCACGGTCCAGGCGGTACCCAGCCACAAATGCATATATTTGTGAACAAATCGAATTCGATACCAGGAGTGCCTGTGAAATCACACACGCATAGTCTGAATTGCTACCTGCCAGGAGTGCCAAACACATGCGTTGCCCCTGCATCAACACCTCCTAGCCAGGCCGTAGGGCTAGCTGCCAGAAAGGCTCACAGCCGCTCAGGGGCGATTTCCAGTGGCTGGATCCCCTCTAGCACCCTTCGAGCAAGAAGGTGGCAAACATAGTCAAGATTGCCACACTTTTCAAGGCCTAGGCCTCCTAGGCCTTGAAAAGGAACATACTATTTAAGGCCGAAGGCCTCGAGAGGCCTTGGACGCTTAGGGTTCAACCATTCCCCGCATTCACTCAAGACTGGCAGGAGCGAATCTGTTCTTTGCCCGGCTTTGCTTCATACATGTGCCACATGGAGGTTGCGGTGTTTGTCCAGGACTTTGCTGGCTTCCATGGGTGCCAACAACTTGGCTCCGACCTGACTGGCAGCGAGAATCTGCGATCGGCCAGTCACTCGAGGCAAATCGTTGTGGAATCAGGCGCCTTGGCGCCTTGCAGAGATTTTGAGTCAGTCACGAGCACGAACCTGCCACCTCAAGGGCTTCAAGGGCTTGCTGTAGGCTTGCCAGATACGCCAAACTTGATGTAGCCTAGTTTCCCGAGCAAGGGCAACTTGATTTGTGACCGCTCATTTGAGAGGGATGTTCCACCTGCAGGTTCGGTCCTGTGACCGTGTCCTTTCCTTCGCTGATAGTTCTTGGCTGCATTTGGTGGCTTGCGATCTTGTGCGGAGACAATGACAAAGATTTGTCACTTGCCTGGGTGAGGTTCTTCTGATTGTCACCGCAATGATTTATGTTGGTGGAGATTTGGGAAAACGATTTGCCAGAGGCCTTGCTAAGAGAGGTGCACTTGTTTGACATGGTCCTGATTGTGTAGGCTCCTCCGTGCTGGCCGTGATTCTTATTTTGACGATGACGACTGTTGCTATCATAGACTTTGAGGCCTTTTGCAGCGGGCTGCGTTCTGCCAATCACATGCTTGAGCCCATCCCAGTTGTCAAAAGAAGCTCTGCGGGATGGCTGCCTGCATGCGAACGCAAGGTTCGGCACCCCCCCGACAGGAATCCTCCACTTGGTTTCATTCAACTCAGTTCGCACATTCACCACTTGCACACGCTTGCCAGGCCTCAAACTTCGAGCCTTTCATCCCACCAGACATGGGGATTGCCGGTGGAACACTCAGAGCTGTTTGATTGAATGCGCAGTCTCCACGTTGCATTCCCAAGGCGTGCTGGCAGGATCCGTGACGACCTTCTTTGGCTTCATTGGCTTTGATGAAGTGTGCTGCATGGCGGGGGAGGCATGGAGAGCCCATCGGAATTTCTTCCGTGATTTTGGTTGGCAGGCCACAAATCCGCGAAAGACTGTGCCACGCGCTTTGATCGGCACGCTCCTGTGTGCGACAGTTCTTCCATTGGCAGCTTCGTTGGCGCTTGTTGGCCATGTTCTCAGAGGGATACCTCACCGGGTAGCTCAGAGCGGCTGCAGCTGTCCAAGGCTTCACACCATACACCAGCATTGATCCCAGCTCGGGCTTTGCAGTGGCCTTTCGTGACAGGCGCTACAATGATTTCCCACCGGGTTCCGCACGTGCTCGTTGCAGGGGGTGGACTGCGTTGGCTTATGCTGTACAACTTGGACAGCTGGTGGTGCTCTTCGTTGTCACTTACATGTACCTGCCCCAGCCAATCGAGTAATTGAGTGCCTTGTAAATGAGTTTGTTTGCCAATACAGGTGCTTCTTGGCTCAGCCACGGGTCTTCTTTGCACTTGCCAGAGATGGCCTTTTGCCTTGCAGGCCAAGAGCTCAGCACCGCGAGTCGCTGATAGTGATTCTGTCTTTTTCCCTGAAAAACATCGTGAAGCTTTCTCAGCGTATCTGACACAATTGCATGTCACTCCAGCTGCATAGCATCACATCAGCCGTGTGTGCCTTTTGTCAACTGCTTGTGCTTGGAGTTGTGATGTCAATTACGTGCCACCGCAACTGCATTGTTTCAACCGCACATTATTGAACTGACAAGTCATCAACTGCCGAACATATTATGATATGGTTCCAACTCTTTGCGTGAAGTTGGCGCTCTGCAGAGCCGAACATGCTTGCTCGATCCTTGAAGTCTTTGCGCCAATCCGGCGAGTGCGAGATGCTAAATTGGCATATACTTGTTGGTTTACTTCATGTTGGCTTTGCCAGCAAGTCGCATTTCTGCTTTGCAATGCAGCGCATGAGCTTGATGTCCCGTTTGATCATCTCAATTGTGTATTTAGTGTTGTGCACATGTCAACATTCGCAAAGTTCACGCTGTGCAAACGTTACTAGTTCAGTGGCGGCTGACACGCATTGCTCACGTACCAAAGTGCTTGCCCTGCCTTAGCTGCGACTCGACATTTGCACATTTACAGCGAGTCTTGCTTCTCGCCTTGGCCGCTGCTTTCAGGCCGTCCGGCCGTCATCTAGTTTGCTTACACTTGAATTGGACTCCTTGCTTTCGCCGCGCAGCCTTGCACGAGAGTGGCTGCCTCATCACGTTTGCTGGCACTGTGCTTCTTCTTTCCCTGCAGTCACTATTTATTCTAACACTTCCACTCTGTCCACCTAAAGAGCTGAGGGCAAATCTTGAGCAGGGTCTTGGGCCCCTGGAATTTATTGGCAATTGCCAACAGACAGCTCCATGTCCTCCTTGCTTTGCAGAGATTCAGAGACTCATGAATGTTGCGAACTTCAGCCTCCCTGGCCCATTGTCTTCTGCAGCAACCACATAAGCGTGCCTGCTCGAATCACCCGCCAGTCGAGCATGGTTGACGAACAGCATTCATTGGTAGGACAGTTTGCCGAGTGCAAGCATGCCGGCTTTCACACTTGTGCCTGGTGCCAGGTGCCAGGCGCCAGGTGTCAGGGGTCTTTGGAGCAACCTTACAGGGAGCTGAAGAGCACTGGAGGTTGGCATGACCAAATCCAAGTTCTATTCCGTGGAGCATTCATGTTTTTGTTCATTTGGCCACCTGAACTATCCGGCCAGCCACAGCAGCCTGAGACAAACCAGCGTGGCTGTGAGAGGGTCTAGTTTGCCCTAGAGAGCAATCGTATTCATCATAGCCCTGTTTGATGATGAGGCACAGACAAAGACCTACACAAAAATAAGGTGTTCTTTGGTTCACTCTTAAAGACCATCAGACTGTACCAAAATAGATAACATGACTTCGCAGATTGATCCACCACTATCGGGGTCCTGAGGCGTGTTTCGTTGACGGAGAGTGAGGCACACGCGCACACAAACGACACACTTCAACAGAATGGACTAATTGGCCGCCTCAGAGCAATCTACAAGCACCACGCGTGTCCGCCACACGTCAACACTGGAACCCGCCAGGCAGCTGAGCAAACGAAACAGTGCTCACATCCACGACTGCTACGGCGCCCTTCTACTTCACGCATGGGAGCAAGTCACTAGTTAATAAGTCTTGCGAAAACTAACTATTGGCTTGGCCTAACGTTTGTTTCGCCAGGACAAACAAGCTTATGGCCGTTTACGGAACCTTTGTTTCTCTGGACAAGACAATCTTTTCTTCCGAACTCATGCTTATATTCTTTGTCGCACGTGCGGAAACGCTGATTGCCAACAGGGGAACAAACGTTTTCCGTGTGAAAGGTTTGTTTCTGTCTCAAAAACACATTCTTCCTTTGAACGTTTGTTTTGCCATGGGAAACTTCTCGGAAACCCTAGAATGGCTACTTTGGAAACTTGGAAAACAAGGGTTTCATCGCAGAGTTTCATCGCAGTGTTTTGGTCCAGGCAAACGGTTGTTTCGAAACATGTTTTTCCGGGACGGCCACTGGTGCGTCTCCGGCTCCACCACTTCGCCACCTTTGCGGCTCCTCCGCAGCCACGGCCACTGGCTCCGTATGTGACCGCTATGCGGTGTTTGTGCATGTTGTATGCACTGTCCACGCATGATTCCTATGAATTTGTTAGTATTTCTTCGTCTTTCCTGTGCATGTGGCATGCGTTTCTTTCTGCACTTTTGATGCAGCCGGTATGCAGATGAGCGCTGGAGCTGAGCTGGAGCTGAGCTGGAGCTGAGCTGGAGCTGAGCTGGAGCTGAGAGCTGGAGCTGAGCTGGAGCGGAGCTGAGCAGATGAGAACCGGAGCGTCGCCGGGCCAGAGCCGGAGCTGAGCCGAACACGGAGCCGAGGCGGAGCGCAGGTGGATCGACACGAGAGCTGGCTGGATGGGTACGGGAGAAAGCGCGCGATTACAAGCAGCGGTCACAAAGCCGAACAATAGCCTGATAAAAAAGCGGGGGGGGTGGGGGGGGGGGGGGCGCAGCAGCCCCCCACTAGAATTCGAAAAGCCAATACACCCAACCTGAGGCCCCCCAATTCTTTTTTTCAGCACCACTTGGAGAAATGATGTTTTCGTTTGAAAATCTGTGAAACAGATCGGTTTTTCAGCACCAGAAAACAGCACCCTCCCCCCTTCCAAACAACAATCCGCACTCCTCACCCCCAACAACAAACCCCCGTTGTTGTTCGAGCATCCCTCCAACCACAATCCTGAACAAGTACTCCCCCCCCCCCCCGCGCATTGTTCGAACAATCAGAACCCCCTCCCCCTCAAGAACAAATCCACCCTCCGCCAATTATTGCCCCTCCCCCACACAACAATTCCCGCCGCTTAATTTCTTGCTCTTGGTGTTGAAATCTCAACACTGGTGCTACAAAAACCGTTCGGGTTTGCGGCATGTTTACGCTCTTTTGTTTGCGTCATGTCAGGGCCATGCCTAGGATTCGGTGTTGGAAATACCACTCGTAAAGCGTTCAGAACCCATTCAAAGCCCGTTCGCAAACTGTCCACATGTCGTACAGCTTACGTGAAACTAAACATGTGTGTTGCGAAATCACCTTGTTGTTCTAAAAAGCCGGGGAGGGGTTTCTTGGTTGAGAGGGCTCGTTGCGAGCCATGATCAACCCCGCTTATTGAGACGGTCTCTGGGTGGGGTGTCGGTCGGGGCGCAGTCTCCGTCGCAAAACGGGCGCCAATGGAATAAGAACGCGGTGCATTACGCGCAGCTTTGCGCAGCTGAACTTAACAACTGCCAAGCCACTTGGTGGTGTTGCTGGTGATGCTAGGGGTGTCATTTGTGATGCTGGAGATGTTTGGCTACACGTACCCACTGGAAACATTAGCTTCCCATCGCTGAAAGTAATCTTTCAGAAGGTTTGTTTCTGGGCGCCCCCTTTCTCCCGAGGCCAGAAAGGTTAGTTTCCACCTGAAAAAAATGACTTTTGCGGTTCCAGAACCTTTGTTTTCGAACCCCTCAACTAACTTTTATTCGGCCAGGTAAACCATTGTTTTTCCTTGAGAAAACAAACTTTCTTTGTCTGAGTTAGTTTGTTTCCCAGCCCTGGGGCGGCCAGCGCCCTGTCACTGAGTTTCACACAAAGGGTTTCCACCTGGGAAACTAAAATTTGTTACTCTAGTTAAGAAACTTCTGACTCGCGCCACACTCCTACTTCAAGAATGGGTTGATAGATCACATCAATCACATCGGCGCTACTATATAGTGCTTCTTGAACCATGTGTTGACGAGGTTTGCAGAGTTGAATGAAGCCGGCGAGCCGTGGTTTGCGACATTGATGCGCGGACCCTGGCAAGACAAGCGGTGCCATGTTATTGCATTGCGAGATGAAAGTAAACGTTGAAGCACCATGTGCATCGTTTGCTATTGCTGCGAATTGCAAACTGAGAGCTTACGCAAGCCATGGCCAGTTCGCTGAGGACCGGAGTACTCGTCGTGGCCTGCGGAGCATTGCTTCCATTTAGCACTTTGGCCAATGCCATCTCTGGAGGCGTTTGTGTGCCATTGATGCAAGTTACATCGGAAGCTCGTTGCACGCATGTAGCGCATGGCCATTGACGGCCATTGAGGTGAACTTCAACTTGGTCAACTGCTGTATGGTGGTGCTCCGAGGAGGTCATATTTTTCGCGCGGGCTGCATTTAATTATTTGCACTGTGTTTGCAGCCAATGAAGGCGGTCAGAGCTGCCGACTGGGCGTCACGAGCTTAGTGCTTGAAATCGGAGATCAGAAGCTGTGGCGACATGCCAGGGAAGCCTCTTTGGGTTCAACGGCTTTTGCCTCCTCACGGCTCTCTTGCTACGGCGTCTTGGATAGAATCAGACTCGCCATTACATACCCGGGTTACCCTGGTCGGAGTTTTCCTTGTTTCACTCAGCTGGCAGGCAAGTCTTGGGTGAAGACGTTGAAGGCCAGGCATTTCACCTACAAATAGGAGAAATAGGAGACATGTTGAGACGTTTGCTGCCAGAGGCATGGCTCATGTGTGGGCGCTTGCTGCTGCATCAGTGGCTGCGCTGGCCACCATTCTTTGCTTCGTCATGGACTTACCTCCGTGCCGTGGAATGCCTGTGAGGCATGTCTTGCTTCTCTTGTGGCTGTGCCGTGAGAGATTTTGAGCTCAGGTTGCGATCACCGCTTATTTGAGAGACCAAGCCGCTAGTGACAACGAGGCAGACTGTGGCAAATTGGCAGTAGCCGTGGCACTTGGCCTTGCACAAGGTATTTTTTCGTGTTCCTTGTGTGCCTTTGCTGCCCTGCTGTGCCTGGTCCTTGATATCCAGCACTTGATTGGTTGTTTTGGTCAGGGATGTGTGTTAAGGCAATGACCTTCAACAATGTCATGATCTCTTCCATGAAGGCACCGTCGCACTGAGAGATGCATTCAATGCATTCTAATTCTCGAGGCCCTGGACTTCTTACTCCTGGCGTGCTACACGGCACTTGTGGTAAGGACCTGAAAGTGGCGGCCGTTCTGAATGAACTGGAATCAGTCGTGGTGGCGCTGGTAGGCACTGGTAGGCACTGGTAGGCACTGGTGGGCACTGGTGGGCACTGGTAGGCACTGGTGGGCACTGGTAGGCACTGGTAGGCACTGGTGGGCACTGGTAGGCACTGGTAGGCACTGGTAGGCACTGGTGGGCACTGGTAGGCACTGGTTGGCACTGGTAGGCACTGGTAGGCACTGGTGGGCACTGGTAGGCACTGGTGGGCACTGGTAGGCACTGGTAGGCACTGGTGGGCACTGGTAGGGCACTGGTAGGCACTGGTAGGCACTGGTGGGCACTGGTAGGCACTGGTAGGCACTGGTGCGCACTGGTAGGCACTGGTAGGCACTGGTGGGCACTGGTAGGCACTGGTGGGCACTGGTAGGCACTGGTAGGCACTGGTGGGCACTGGTAGGCACTGGTAGGCACTGGTGAGGCACTGGTGGGCAGTGGTGGGCACTGGTAGGCACTGGTAGGCACTGGTGGGCACTGGTAGGGCACTGGTGGGCACTGGTAGGGCACTGGTAGGCACTGGTAGGCACTGGTAGGCACTGGTGGGTGGGCACTGGTAGGCACTGGTAGGCACTGGTGGGCACTGGTAGGCACTGGCAGGCACTGGCAGGGGTGGGCACTGGTGGTAGGCACCGGTAGGCACTGGTAGGCACTGGTACGCACTGGTAGGCACTGGTAGGCACTGGTAGCTGGTAGGCGCTGGTGGGCGCTGGTAGGGACCGGCAGGCACTGGTAGGTGCTGGGGCACTGGCCGGGCATTGGTAGGAACTGGTAGGCACTGGTGGGCACTGGTAGGCGCTGGTAGGCACTGGTAGGCACTGGTGGGCACGCGCTGGTAGGCGCTGGTAAGGCACTGGTAGGCACTGGTAGGCACTGGTAGGCACTGGCAGGCACTGGCAGGCACTGGCAGGCACTGGTAGGCACTGGCAGGCACTGGTAGGCACTGGCAGGCACTGGCAGGGGTGGGCACTGGTGGTAGGCACCGGTAGGCACTGGTAGGCATGGTAGGCACTAATCGGCACTGGTTGGCGCTGGTTGGCACTGGTCGGCGCTGGTAGGCACTGGTAGGCACTGGTGGGCACTGGTCGGCACTGGTCGGCACTGGTGGGCACTGGTTGGCACTGGTATCCGGGCCCAGGTTGGGCCCTACTTGTTCTTCACATGGAGCAGAAGGCGACGGAGGCCTCGCAACTGCAGACATTGCCTCTATGAAATGCTTAAATGCAAGGCTGTTAGATATACGGCGCAGCACTGAGATGCATGTCTGGAATATGTTTCAGAGCGACGCTACCTAAGTCATGTTACATAAGATGAAGACGTTGGCACACACACACACAGGTGTGAGTTGATGTCTTCTCCTGGCAATGCGAGTGAGGCTGGGATTAGAAAGGCCCATGAGTGTAGTCATGTCGCCATTGGCAGATGTTTTGTCATCCTCCCACCAACAAACCTGGAAGTGCACAGGGCCCCTTTCCAAAAGGACAGTTGTCTCTTAAACGGACTTTGCACACTTCCTTTTGTCCGGAGGGTATGCAGTGTATGCAGTATGCCTTTGTTTGCGAGCTTTGTGGTTGAGTGCTTCAGGTTTTGAACTGAAGCGTGAGTTTGTCGAGATCCCGGAGAGCATTGTGAGCCGACGGTACCAGATGTGCCGAGAGTCGGACCTCAGCTGCGCTCGCGGGACCTGGGCATTCGCAGCGACCTCGCACCCTGAGATATGCGGATCGGCTGTGCAAGGCCAAAAAAGAAAATATCCGCAAGCAGCTTGACGTCTATCAGCCTCTGTCCAACATATCCTTGCCGGCATGCAAGCCTCTTGTAGGACTATGTCATCAATACACTGTATGGAACAACCATGTACCAGAGTCACGGGAACAAGCAGTCCCCGAACAGCAGCCTGTGCCAGATTACGAACAACGCAGCCCAGGCGACGCCAAATAAACCATTCTGCCAGAGTGCTTTTCCTGCACAGAATCGCTTTCATGATAGAGGGAGTGAAATTGGTGCCAATCTCAGCTTTGCCGCCAAACGGATGCAGAAGACCCAACTTTCAGCATGTCCGCTCGAGGTTCATGCAACATGTTCAAGAAGGCAGCTGCAGTGGCCTTCAAGGGTGAGACAAGGCACACGACCAGAACGAAGAACACGAGAGTGCCGAGTTTGGTCCTGAATCATGAACAACTGATGGAAGCAGGATACGGGGCAAAGAGGGCAAGCGCTTGCAAGAGGCGGGGAGGATAGCATGCATTTGCAAGGCATCAAGCAAACACAAAAACACGCATCAAGTATCAATGAATAGCACGCAATCAAAGCTGGTGAAGCATCAAGCACGAATTGTTCAGGCATCAGCAAATAATCAGGCATCGGCCATATATACCCATACTGCGTAACACATATATATATATATATGTATAATAAAATATATATATATATATATATATATATATATATATATATTATATATATATATATATAAGCATGTATATAGATGGTACCCCTCTACTTTTCTTTCATAATTCAACTGTTTTAGAACACACAACTTAATTTGGGGCTTTGGGGGGCACAATTCCGAGGTCAATCTGAACATCCCCAAAGTGAAACCGAATGAAAAGGAACATATCATTCGCTGATTGGACCCCCCCCCCCCGAATGAAAACGAATAAACTGTCATTCGCCTAGATTCAAGATTCAAGATCCTTCAAGGGTCAGAACGAGAGCCGCAGAGAGCTACAGAATGGCAGTGAGCTTGGGCCAAGCGAAGGAGCAAATTTCTTGGGAATTTGACAGCCTTCCGGGGGGGGGGGGGGAATTTTGCCGGTTTCTGGAAGGGTGACTTGCTTTTTAGAGGGGATTTGACAGGTTTCTCGGTTTCCAGAAATTTGACAGGAGTTGGAGTTGGCCGGTTTGTGATCGCTTTTGGGGCGGGGCAAGATCCCTTTCCCACTTCCCGGCCCTGGGGCTTCCAGGCTCGCTTCAGGCGGACTGGAGGCAGCTGGAGCGGCCGCGTGACGTGGGGTCACGGGGGGGGAGGCAAATTGGGCCCTAGTCCCAGCTCAAGTCCCTCTCTCCCAGCGCCCAGCGGCTACATATTCATATGCATATTTTGCATATATATATATATATACATATGGTAGGCGCCCCTCAAAGGAAACCTACCTTTTCCAGAAAAACATCTGGACATTTACAAGGAACACAAGCAAGCGACCAACACGAGCAAGTAAGCAAGAACGCAAGCAAGCAGGCGACGCAAGCAAGCAACGCAAGCAATCGACCAACACAAGCCAGCAAGTAAGCAAGCAAGGAGGCAAGCTAGCAAGGACTCAAGCTAGCAAGGAAGCAAGGAAGGAAGGAAGGCAGGAAGGCAGGAAGGAAGGAGGGAGGGAAGGCAGGTGTGAGGGTTGTGTGCGATGTGCGCCAGAGCTGCGGAAGTTCCGACGCAAGGGCGTGGGGGTATCCAACAATAGACAAATCAATACATAAAAATATGCTACAGGTTCGGGGGTGTGACTAAGCAGCTGCGTTGCTCCACAGCCCCCGCGCAAGCTTGCTCGGGATTTGGGGGGGGCGGGGGGAAAAATAGTAAAAGGAGAATTCAAAGAATTATTCTTTCTACTATTTTTTCCAACAGCAACACAATAAACAGAAAACAAAATCCAGAACAACAAGCAAACAAAATAAATAATCACAACCAGCAACAAAAATATTTAATCACAGCATACAACATTAAATAATTCAAACAAGCATACCAACAAAACATCAACACTCTAAACCATCAAAGACACTCAACTCAAAAACACACATCAACAAAAAGCAAAGCAAGATACCAACAAAAATATCACAAGAGTATCAAACAAAACAAAAACAAACAGTCAAAGCACGAAAAAACTGAAGAAGCATACCAAGTCTAAACAACGCACTTTGAAAGAGATAAGCAAATTAGGAAAATATAATAATTCAATCTTTACAAACGATAAATATATTACAATTATAACATATAATATTTTACATGTTATTATTATAGTATGAGTTCAACTTTAGTCTAATTAATTTTAAAATTCTCTTTGAATTCGTTTCACTATTTTATCAACTGTTTTTTCATTATACATATTATTTCCTATTTCTTTTATAAACACCTTCATTACACTAATTGCATGTCTTGCTGTGTATCTAAGTTCGTGAGCTTCATACTTACAATTTAAAAACTCATTTACAAAATCAAAGTCATTATCATTCAACGCTTCGTGTTTTAAACGTTTAATGCTAAAAGACATATTGTATAATCTTTTTACCAGGCTATAATACTTATAAATAAAACCGTTCACATATCCATTATCTAATACATAATCAAATTCTTTTTCAGTAAAGAACTTATTCATTTCAATAAACACAAATATTTCTAAATCATCATCAAGAGTTTCAGCATGTCTAATATCAAAATCTCTGTTATTCATATAATCAGTTTTGTTTATAATTCTATTGCAATTATTGCATATCATATATTGACAAATATTATTACTAACACCATCTATAAAACCCTGTTGAATTGTTAACTTTAGCATCTCACAGTCTTTACATGTGTAATTCATAAACTTTTGTTTCAATATATTTTTAACATCAATATCTTCATGGACAGTATCACTAAATTCACTATACACACTTTCTATATCACTATATTCACTATATTCACTTTCTGTATCACTCATTTCTATCTTAATATATTAAGTCAATATTTCTTTAAGTCGTTTTCAAAGAATTTATTTTATAATGGCCGTAAGCAAGTGAGTTTATACTATCTATCCAATATTTTTTGTTTTCATAACTACTAAGAGCAATTTTTTAGTTGCTATACTAAAAATTCTGTGGTTTTTACTTCTAATACTATTAAATGACTTATGTATAACCTCATTAGTTTTTAAAACCGTCTCAAACTCTTCATATTTCATTTGACGTCTTACTGTGCCTTTTGCTATGCCCTTACATTTCTTATATTTTTTATCATCACCATAAACTGAGTAAGCGTAGCATTTAGGACGAAGGGCTATAAACCCTGTTATTATTTTACTTTTTAATTCATCCTTAAATTTACCTAATACTTTCTTGTTATTCTCATCATAACATTTATGTTCCTTAGGATAATCTGAAAAATCTATTTCTTTTTTAATTGTATTCAGGTCTTCATAAATGTCATTGGTTTTAGTATGAAATACAAAACTATCAGTATCAGTATATACCATTTTAATATTATCTCCATATTTAGGCTTCATAACGTCATAATAAAATTTATACATGTGTTGCTTACTCAAATCTAAAATACTCATCCCAATAAATATAGGTTTGTCTAGTTTCAACTTTGTTTTTTGCTTTTCAACTCCAACCAAATTTTCATTAATGATATGACTATGTTTGAAGTTAGGATTACTTACGCACTTCATATATCTAGTTTCATCACTAACAACTTCAAAGTCTAAATGTTTTCGCTTACCCTCCATTGTTTTTCCAAATATGGCATTGTTCATCAACTTATAAACATCTTTCTCAAAATCATTTCTAGCATTCTTCCTCTTCTCAGTGTTAAACTCAATGTACGGTTTTAAAACTTCTTTTTGTTCAAATTTAATTGCTCTATGAATTTTCTTAAGTTTTAACCCTTGCTTCAAATAAACTTGTAAGGTTCTTATATGGATTACATATTTTCCTTTATCATTTAAATTCAATACTAATTTATTTTTTTCTCATCCGTAGGTTTTTTATGATGTAAAAATTCATAATTTTCAATTTGTTTATGTGACAGCATGTTGGCTTTAACATTCATAACCTCAGGTGCCATTGGATAGTCATTGTGTAAATCGTGTAATTCTTTAGGATATTCTAAATCCACTTCTAGAATATATCCAATATTATTATTTTTGTAATTAATAATGTCTTCTTCTTTTAATGTATCATCCCATTTTAAATTTTTATATGGCAGTTTTTGTATCATGCTTAGCCCATACAAATTATTAGCATCAAAATAGTTAATATAACTACTTTCTTTATTTTTATCATATTCTTCACCCATGTATTTATTGTTTGCTTCAACTTTTTTAGTAGAAACCATACACATCCCTCCTCTAAGTCCTGCTTCTATCATTTCATACATTTCTTGGTCATATATTAAATCAATCTCTACACCAGTCATTTTAAGCATAGAATCAAAAGCAAAGTTAGGCAATGTATAATAATAGGCAGGGCCCAATCCATACTATTTCATACACACATCTCTAAAATTTTCGAAAATGTCAGTCAATAATAATACATCAGTTTTCAAATATAAATCATGGTATTCACCCATATTCTTAATGTCGAAATGCTTCCATATAATTTTTGCCCTTTCATAGTCGTTAACACTTATACCTTCTTCACTCAACTGACTATAAAAATCATCCTTACTCGGTAATTGCTCATCATCAAATTTATCAAATGAATTCATGTAGTCATAAGGATAAACGCCTTTATCAGTTAATAAATCTAGACATTTCTCACTCTTAATCAAATCATTTTTACTACTGAACCTAAAATTATCTTTCCAGTTTTCACGCAATAACCATTTACTTTTATCTTCTTCATCTGTATTATCATACTTACTCATTGAAACTAACTTATCTAATGAAGCAGTTAAAAACCCAAAAGTGTCTTTAACACTCAAACTTTCAAAACTGATATTAATAAATTTTTCACTGTTCTGAGCGATGACACCTATTTTATTGTTGTTACTTAATTTATCCGCATTTTGAATAATTAAATGACCATCATAATTTTTCATGTTATGAAAGAATACTGGAATTTTAAAATATCTATTACAAAAATTAAGATTGCAAACATTATGAGCACAACCTCTATACTTACCTGTAAAATGACAATGGTCTCTAACTTTTCTATATTTCTCTGCTTCCTTGGCATTCTTATAGTTCATTCTAAACTTATCTCCACAAATAAAGCAGTTTTTAGCATTTTTAAAATCTTCTTTGTCTTCATCAGTCATATCTATGTTTTTGTTTTCTCCCATTTTATTTTTTCTTCTGCCCTAATGTCATTAAGTTTTTGACAAAACACATCAACAGCATCTTTACCACGATACATAAATTCATAATTTGTATTATCAACAGCATTAACCATATTAAGCATAAAACCACATGGTTTATGCTCTTGATAAGAAAAAGTGTTTTTATCTTCATCTTCATCAGGTTTT